CCTCCCCCAGCCCCGCCCCCAGGCCCCGGGGACCCCGGACCCCGCCCGACCTGCAGATGCCGCACTCCATGGTGCCCTTGCTGCTGCAGAGCGCCGGGTCCCCGCTGGCGTCCCGGCACTGGCACTCGCACTGGGGCTGGACCCGCACGGTCACCGTGTCCGTGAAGCCCAGCACCCGGATGACGAAGGTCTGCTCCTGGATGCACTCCGTGGCCGTGACCTTCACCTGGAAGGTGATCTGCCGGGGAGCGGGGTCAGCTCTGACCCACGCGGGCCCCCCACCCTGGCCGGGGCAGACTCAGCGGTCGGGGGGCATCCCTGGCCCGGCCGAGCCCGGCGCCAGAGCGGGAGGGGGCTGTGTGCTGGCGGGGAGGCCACACTGTCCCCAGGGCACTTTGTCCTGGGCCCCTCGGGGCTTGGAGGCCGGACCCCGCAGGGAAGGCCAGGCGCCGCCTGTGACTTGTGTTGGACCCTGAGCAAAGGTCGGAGGGGCCCCGGCGGCGCCCCGGCAGGGACGGGGAGCGGCGCCTGGGCAGTCGCTGTTTTGCCCAAGGAGCAGCGAGAGGCCGGCCAGCGCACTCAGCCCTGGGGCCGCACGCCCACAGGCCACGGGCCTGTCCTGTCACCGTGGCCGTGGCCGCTGGAGTCCGTGGAGAAGTAAATCACAAGCACAGGAAGGGAACCCAGCCCAGCCCCAGGCGGCGCCCCACTGCACCCCCAGGGGGCACTGCCCTGCACAGTCAGCCCCCTGGCCAGTCCTTCCGTGGGTGACTGCACGCCTGCCCTCCCACGGCCTCCTGGGGCCACCTCTGCCTTGGGCTAGGGAGTGTCCTTCTCTCCGTTCCCGGGATAGAAGCTTCCAGAATGGTGGGTGGATGCTCACCGGCACGTTGATCTGGACGCCGTCACAGTCCCCGCGGGGCTGGCCAATCTTCGGGGCCCCCTTACTGCAGAAGGAGTCGTAGGTGACTCTCAGGGTGCTGGGGAGGGTGCTGTGGTCCAGGAAGACTCTGGAGGACAGTTGCTGCGCACAGGGGACCCAGTCAGGGGCTCGTCCTGCCTGCTCTCCCCCTGCCCGCACCACAGGGAGCTGGCCCTGTCCTCTGCAGCCCAAGGCCACCGCCCCCAAGGCCACCAGCGGAGGGAACCGCTGGGCGCAGACGGCAGTCCCAGGGCGGGACTGGAGAAGTGAGAGAGAGACGGGGCAGAGAAGAGATCCAGGGGCACAGACAGACGGGGGACAGACAGAGAGGGGGGACAGGCAGGGCCAAGAATTTGAGCTCTGAGCACAAGTGAGAAAAGACTAAAATATGGCTATAAATTGAACTTTGAAATGAAAGCCTATTGTGTTGCCAAAGACAGCAACTAAAAAAGTGAAAAGAAAATCCACAGAATGGGAGAAAATACTTGTAGGTCATGACCTGTTAAGGGACTGGCATCAGAATATATACAGAACTCTTACTACCCAATGATAAAAACATCAGTAAGCTAGTCAAAAAACAAGCTTAAGAATTGACTAGCTATTTTTCTAAGACTTTTATATATATATATACTAAAGAAAATGACCAGTGAACACTTGGAAGGATGGTTCGACATCTTAGTCATCAGGGGAAATGCAAACCAAAACCTCAATGAGATATCATTTCCTCCCCATTAGGTTGGCTGTAAGAGAAAAAAAAAATTACAGAGAAATAACAAGTGTTCACGAGGATGTGAGGTAATTGGACCCCTCTGATCTGATGATGGAAATGTGAATGGTACAGCCACTTTGGAAGACACTTTGGCAGTCCCTCAAAATCTCAGATTAGTGGTTGCTAGGGGGGCTGTTTCTTTTGGGGGTAAGGAGACTATTCTAATATTAGATAGTGGTGAGGTTTGCACAGCTCTGTAAATACACTAAAAATGACTAAATTGTATACTTTAAAGAGTCGGGTTTATGCTACATGAGTTATATATCTCAATAAAGCCATTGCAAAAAAAAGACATTGGGCTTAGAGATCAAATGGACATGGCTGTACACTAAGGACCGAGTGCTGAGGTCCTCTTACCAATTTATGTGGAAATTGTCATCCCCAAGGATGGTGGGATTAGGAGGTGGGACATTTGGGAGATGCTTACTTCATGAGGATGGAACTCTTGAAATGGGATCAGTGCCTTGTGAAAGAGGTTCTAGAAAGACCCTAGACAGTCCCTCTACTGTATGAGGACACAGCCAGAGGTGCTGGCTATGAACCAAAAAGCAGGTATTCATCAGAAAACATCCATGCTGGTGGCTTAGACTACCAGCTCCCAGAACTGTGAGGAATAAATTTGTTTATAAGTTATCCCAAATACCCAGTTTGGTAGTTTTCATGATAATAGACTGAACAGACTAAGTGGGAATCCTGTCTGTTGGTAGTTATATGATTCCCCTGCCTCAGGGCTGTTGTCTTTGTGAGGCTGACTTCACGCATTAGGTGGAATCTGAAGGAGTGTGCTGTACACCTTGACGCTAGACTCCAGAATTTTCCATTTTCAAGGATAACTTGGACCCTCAAGGCCACCTGTCTCTCATCCCTGGCGATTCAGGGAGTAGACTTCCACATGGGAGGGCATGAAAGCCCTCCTCTTCCCAGATTTACCCGTGAAGCCCTCCAAGGAGTAAGAGAACATGTTTCAGGGTTCCTTAAGGGTTCTGTCAGAAAGGGGTGCTGAGTTTTCTGCAGTGTTGGTACTCTTGGTCTGAGTGGGCCTTCCCAGACAGGGTCTTTCTGGAGGGGTGTGTGTGTGTGTGTATGTGTGGCAGAGAGAGAGAGCAGAAAGGTGGGGAATGCAGAGAAAATGGCTAAAGAGACTTAGTGCAGGGAAGCACTGACCCAAGACTGTCTGGTCTGGGAAGAGGACCTCTGCCCACCCAACTTGCATACCTACCTGACACAAGCTATGCAACCTCTGTCGACAGACACGGTATGGATAGAGGGGAAATGCTCTGAAAAATCAGACTTTCCACGCTAACTTATGTTGTGACCTCCCTTTTTTGTGTAATATCAAAATATTCCAAACAACCTTCAGCTTACAGTTGGATTGCCTCAGCCTCAGAAGGCGCTACCTGGCCCTGACAAGCAAGTACTGCACCAGGGTGAGAAATTCCTCTGAAGTCAAAAGTCATTAAACAACTGGCTGATTAATAAAAACAAATGGCTGTTACTGCAAAGTCTCTCTCACTGCCAGACAGAGGAAAACCCAAACCTTATCACACTATCTCACATAGCCTTCCATTCAGTTTCTAAATAACCACTCAAGCTTTCTACTATCTAGTCTTTAGATATGGAAATTCACCCAAGTCCTCTATTCAGAGCTAATCAGGTTTTCTACCATCTAGACTTCAGAAAACTCACTTAAACTTTCTAACAAGTTTTTCAAAGAACCTTACCATAATTTGATTTACAAGAAATTTCCTCTTCCTCCCTCACTTTACTTTACCCCCTAGGATGTCTCTATGAGAATGAAAGCCCTTAAGTAATAGATAGTGTTTAAGGGATTTTATTTTGGTTAATCTTCACTGTGGTAAATATAGTAATATTAGTCTTAAACTTTGT